TTTTTAAGCTATCTGTTACTGATTTCTGAATTTTAGAGTGGTTTGAGATAATACTTGGTATGTTATGGAATTTCTTCTACTATTATTAAATGTAGTATTCTATAAATGTCAATTAAGTGGATTACTAAACACTGTTCAAGTCACCTGTCTACATATTGATACTGTATTAGATCCCCTACTTATTGAAAGAGAAGGTCCATATATTCACCTAGAATAATGGACTTGTACATTTTTCTGTCAACTTTACCATGAATGTAATTGCAGCACTGGCATCCCATGCAGGCAGCACCAGAGTCCTTGGCTGCTTCACTTCCATCTATCTCCCTGCTAGTATACCTAGGGAAGCAGCACAGGATGCTCCAAGTGGTTGGGCCCCTGCACTCACCTGGGAGTCCCAGAAGAAACTCCTGGCTTGGTGCAACCCTGGTTTTGTGGACATCTGAGGGTTGAACCACCTGATCAAAAATTTGTTTCCTCTCACACCTTCCTGTCCATCACTCCCTATCTCCTGCCAACTCTGATTTCCAAATAAATACAGAAATCTTTATTTTTAAAAAATATATCTATGTACATTTATTCACAGCATGCTGCCTAGTTTTTTTCCCAGAAGATGCCTAAACATTTTAACCAGTTATTTAAAATTCTATGATAATGTCAAGATCAGCATGACACTTATGTCTTGTTCAATGCTTTCCTTTCATTCTTGTGTTTTATGTTGAATCTTTGCGTACCTTATAATTTCTGGTTGAGAACAAGATGTACCAGGTAATAAGAATTGAAATAAATAATCTTAGGGTAAAAACAAAATGTTGACAACCTAGCTAGTAGTTAGCCTGTATTTAATGTTTGCTGTAGCAGTATGTGCTAGATGTTTCCAATTCCTCTACAGTATTTTTTTTTCTCCCCGATCAACTGTATTTTGTTAAGTGTTCCAAAGAGAGTATGAGAAGTGCAATTCTTCAGCCCATAAGTCAGGGTTGCACAGAAATGCTATTGTGCATAACCATAGGTAGTGGGGAGGGAAAGCTTCCTCCAGTCTCACAACTAAATGTGAACCTCTTAGTGACTGTGTAAGTGCTGTTCTGTGGGACAGCTTCTACCCTCTCCTAAGTGACACAGTGAGGTTGGAGCAGGGATATTATCATTCTGCAGCTGGGACATTCTAGTAAAATTTTCTTCCCCTCATGATAAGACTTGCTTATGGAGAACATGCTGGGAACATTTCTCTGAGATTCTTCTTCACTATGTGAACTTGGTGAGATTCCTAAAGGCAAAAAATCTACAAAAGTACAGGATCCTCTAAAATGGCGGCCCCTAATTTTGATCCCAGCCTTCCTTCAAAATCAACACCACCTACCCTAGTATTCTTACCAATTCATGACTCCTGTGAATTGTGTTCCAGGAAAGTAGATCTCAGATCTCCAAATGCACCTTTCTCTCCAGAGCATTTTGAATACTGATTTTCTCTTGTTGGTGCTCAAAACATCACAGCATGGTGTGTGGCAACTTAGTATGCTGAGTACTTTGAATTGGAAAAGATGCCAAGTGTTTCTGACCTTCTCCCATCTTCTTTCTCTTACTCCTCTGCACGCTCACCCCACGGCCCAAAGCAAGTCACAGAAAGCATAAAATTCCCTCCCTATGGCAGGTCACACAAATTAGACTTCTCTTTCCCAAAGCAACTTAGAAAGCCTTTCATCGTGATTGGAGTGGCAGTTACACTAGCAATTCAGTACTGTTGAACTATCAAAACCTCTTGAGAAATTTATGGTGTTGTAAATTTCTATTTTTCTTCCTGTTGCTGATTTTGTATTGTGGCTTTTCACTTAAGAGGGATGTGTGGTGATTGTGAATGGAGACTATCATGTCCAGATGTGAGGATGTAGTGCAGTGTGCATCTCTACTTCCAGATCATAGATGGACTACTAATGAAACTATTAGCTGTATCTTGACAATGGGAGGCTGGAGTCTCTGTCATTGTCCATGCCCACAATGATGGACATGTGACTATTTATGAAGAGCTATGCTATACTAATAATATAGGGGAATTCGGTGAATGGGAGGGTATTTGGGGAAATAAAAAAAATAATAAATAAATTTTTAAAGATAGAAAAAAAAGCCTAGAAAGGTTTCCTTTTCTCCTGAAGACTGTTATTTCAGATGAGTCATGCTTTCTGTCCTGGATGAAGTAATGCTACTCACAGAGGACTAGAAGAATCCCAGGCCTTTCTGAATCCCCTGTAAAGCCTGTAAACTTTTGGATGTGCTTTATCTTTCTGCATGTTTGTTTTTACACAGTTGTGCATTTGTCATGGAATCTAAACATAAAAATAGGCAGTTTTTCCTTGGCACTTATGTTTTCATTGAAAGCTTCCACAGCTATTATAAAACATTAATTAAACAAATTAATTATGCTATTCTCTTCTTAAGCTGCCTTCTCAGAGGGGTGTTGGCTTTCTGCCGTTATACTCTTGGTTTTTCAATGAATTAAAGAAAACTGATCAACTTTGATGGGTTTTTTTCCCACTTTTTTCTTATAAGAATGACAAATTTTAAAATTAACATCTTGTATTGAAACCATTAATGTATTTTTGGAAGTTTCTCTTTTCTTTTTTCCTACATCTGTCTTTAAGTATTAGGTTATGATGTAAGGTATAATTCTTACCAGAGTTCAGAACATTTAAAAAATAATGCCAGGAGGTAGATAAAAAACAAAGCAAAACACTTTGGGCCCATTCTGCTGAAGCATTCATATGTTTACACAAAATCATATAATAATAGACTGACCTACCAACCAACACTCACACATCACTAACACATCAACCAATCGTTTTTAAGAAACTTCTCATTAGTTTACAGAACAGAATAGTTGAAGAAAATATTTGGAACATTTTCATTAGCAGACAGGTTTTTTTTAATTACAACTTTATCATTCAACCATACGGATAAAATTACAATATATCAAAGCAAAAAAAAATTAGAAAACTAACATACCATGTTTTTAGTAAACAACCTGAACCTTGATACGTTTTGTTTTCGGCACTACACTTTTCCATTAAATACACTAGCACAATTATCCTTGATAATGTTAAAAGTCTTGACAATTATTTGAGAAGTTATTTTAAGCATTACTTAATTTGCCATACTGCTTTTTCTGTAGTGATTTCAGTCCAAATACATTGAAATACTGAAATTAATTGCCACAGATTGATTATTTTATAAATCAGTTAAGAATGTAGTTAAGGAAATTGGAGGATTTGATATGAGATAAAAAGAGGAAATAGAGGAGTGGGGTTCTTTCTCATGTCACTTCCACATAATCTTACCCACAAAAGGAAGCAGTAACCAGTGTTTGAAAAGTCTTGGCGCAGACTCTTTGATCCCTCAAGGTAATTCCAAATTAAATTGTACAAAGAAATAGGTGGAGGGGACAGACGCTTTGTACAATGCAAAGGCCTATACGTGTTCTATAAATGAATTACATCAAAGCTACATAAACACAAACTCCAATTTTAAATATTTTATTACATTTCCAATTGCATAGTAAGATCGAACAACTTTTATTTAAAATATTTATGCGGTCAAGTTTATGAAGGTTGTTTTTGTTCATAAGATGATATCATAATTTAAGAAAGTAATCCTGCATTTATATTAAAACATTCAGATGTTAATAGATTTTTATTTTAGTAAAATTCTTGGGGTAACTGTGATGATTGCATGTGGATTTTAAATTTGACATAGTTTGTCATGCTGTAAGCAAAGCAGAATTATCAAATGATTATCTTCATAAATGAAATAAGGACATGATGTGAAGGGTATATTTAGAAATTAGCAGCATGAAAAAACAGTCAAAAAAAATTATACTCCCCAGAACAACAAAAGCATACTCACATTTGGGGTGAAAAATGAGAAAGGAAAAAATTAAGCTTGATAGATACATAATAAAAATCTACTTTAGATATTCATAGACACATAATCATGGACTCAGAATAATAAAATACTATCTTGATAGGAAGAGAAATGGCTAACAAGTGATCTCACGATATTAGTCATTTAAAGTTCTGGGGAAATTGGCATTTCATTATCATTTATAACCTCTGTGTATAATTTGACTACTTAGTGCCTGTTGAATTCATAATTTGGTGGAGGATTAAACTTATGATTATCCAAACAATTGAAACTATGTCACTGTCAAAATTAAAACCAAAAATATGATAGAAAGGGGGATGTAAGGTGAAAACATGGGCAGGAGGGAGGAGAGGAGAAGCAATATAACCTTAACTCTGTCTAAATAAAATACATTAAATTTGCTCATATATAAATAAAAAATTTGATAAAAGGAGGTTGGTATGAAAATATATAAAAGGTCTCCAAAGTCACAAATGTTTTGGTTGTACACTGAAAGAGCAGGAGCAGAGCTTCAAAGAAAGTGTTATTTTGTGAAGTTTAGAATATTTTTGTCTTGGTTTCATTTATTTTAATTTCTAAATTAAGGTTGTTTTGAATTACACAATTGTATATGAGCCGTAGAAGGGACTCGAATGTTGCTGATAAATGTACTCTTGTTTATTTAAAGATATATGTCTATATTTATATACATATACATACCTACTGTAAATATGTGCATGCATTAAACCCTGCACATATCTTTAAATCCAGTTATCTACTAATCCAAATGTAATAAAAATATTAGGTCTTAGTTATATCTTTAATAACTGATGTATGCTTAAAATGCTTTCTGGGGTTCATTTCAAAAGAAATTACTGGCTGTCACTTGGCTACGTGGTACACAAACTGATTTCTCATAATTTACACATACTTCCTTTTGCAAATACAGATTAATAATAACACCCCTGGGTTTGCGAACATCAAGCACAGGAAACACCTGCAGCACAATATTCGTTTCTATAGGGAAGTGAAACCATTTTTCACAAATTTATTGAAAGAAACTCAGGATGATGTTTTACATTTATTAAAGCAGAGGAAAAAAAATCCCTTACCTAATGCTCTCAAACACCAGACTTTCGTATTCCAAACGGCTGGTCGTGTTCTAATGCGCATATGATCTGACCAAAATTCAACTTCCACAGTCTCAGCAAGTACTTCATCTCGCAAAATAATGAATATTTCACCAGGATTCTACAAGATAAAAAAATAACCAAATTATACATTTTAAAGTTTGTATCATCAAAGAATCAAGCACATTTTTATATACTTGATAAAGGATAAAGGTCATAAAAGCAGTGAAGAACTGTTGAATTGTGTTCCTTTTTCTCAGCCACATTCAGAAATAAAAGATGCAAACCCGATTCTCCTGCAACTTAAATATGTAATTTTCCTGTTTATCCAATGACAGTTTTCTCCAACATGTGTTCCAGCTAGAAAAACAAAAGGCAGTTGAGATGAAAGTGGTTCCCTTCCCTTCTGGCCTCCTACTGTGCAGGGCTTCCTATGCCTGGTTGAAAGCCTGATTTCTCAGACACAGCGCGGTTATAAATTCAACTCTTAATCAAATCCCTTTCATTTTACCCTTTTTTACTATCTTTTTAAATTTTCAATCGAGGATTACAAAACTTTGAGACCTTTTAAAATTGAAGTGTTATAAAATGTAAATGTCAAATAGTTATATATTTTTACAATTGTCTATGAAAGTTTTGAGTTGAGAAAAGAGTAAACATTTGAATGCTCCATGATTTAATTAAGACATAAAGCTAAATCTGGGAACACAAGGCTGTTATTGCATATTTGTTTTTGGAAAAAATGATTCAGAAAACAAACATAGTAGAGAGGGAAGGAATAAACAGTTATTGAAGAGCTCTTCTGATAGCAAGCATTGCACAAAGCATATTTTATATGAAGGTATTTCTTTTCATCCTAATCAAAACATAAATACATACATGCACATAAACAGGAAAATCCAAAATTGCAAAGGTTATAATTTTCCTCTTTTAGGAACAGAGCAACGAATACAAAGACTTAACACTTTGAAGATTAAGCAGAATGATTTAACTCCAAAATCTACAGTATTGTTTGTAACATGCTGTATAACCCCTCAAAGATAAATTTTTTTCATGTCATACTGAACTTTAGTCTTACAATAAATAAACAGGACATTCATTTTTATGCCGTTAGGTCATGCTTAATGACCACAAGCCATTAACTTCAAAAAGCTTTTGTTTAAATGTTATCTCCTTAAGCATAATTTGTCCTACAATAAAATATGTCTGAATGGTTTGCCTCAGTGTTCCTTTTCAAAAGACTTATTTATGTATCTGAAACTCAGATTTACAGAAACATGGAGACACACATAGAAAGAAATTGAGACTGAGACTTCTGTGTCTGCTGGATCACTCCTTGGATGGTTAAAACAGTCCAAGCTGACATGGGCAGCAAGGGCGCAGGCACTTTATCTTCTGCTTTTCTCAGGCCATATGCACAGAGCTGGATCAAAAGTGGAGCAGCCTGAACTGTAAACTAGTGCCCCAGCATTGCAGGCAGTGATTTTACCCACACACCACATTAGCCCTTAACCACTGTTTCTGCAAATATTATGTTTCTGTTGTAAAATAATTTAAACTGCATTCAAATCTGAACTTAGTCAATTCATATGTACCCTCCCAGTGTTTTTCTTCAGCTAGCCTAATCATTGTCATTCTAGGGCATCCACACAGGCTGCTGAATATGCATGAGGCTCCTGCCTTGATAGGGGGAGGACTTCACTTTTCAACCACTTCCAGAAAAAAGTTCTAAACCAAAGACAAGTGCACCTATCACTTCAAGTAAGGATTTTTTCGTTTGTATCCAGGGCTGGCTTCATGGGCCTATGACGTGCCGGACCCATACTTAAAGGCCCTGTGTTTGGTTTAAATGCTCTGCTGTAACTGCCTTGGAATGCTTAATAACCTGAACAAGGAGCCTTGTAACTTCATTGTGCACTACAAATTTAGCAGTTGGCCCTTTCTTTACTCTTTACGTTGGTGTGTTTAGTTCCTTTTCTTCCTCTACCTCGCAGTTATCTTCTGAATACAAGTCTAACTCACATTTCACCAACATCACAAAATCTTCAATGAAAATTCAACCTCTAAGAAGTTTTAGAATTTCTAGAACAAAACTGAAGTTTTCATTTCAGTACATGTCATTTGACCACTGCTATGTCATTCCTATAGTGTGGCATGCCTGCGGCATGGATCACATCTAATGTTTATACACAATTAAAGGTGTTTCTACTCTTTCATACTATTGTGAAGCCTTGCTTGAACTAAGTACATGAGAAATATCAAATATTCAAATTGAGATAGACTAAGTCTGTAATGGAACACACACATTGCATTCCTTTTTTCCATCCATTCTCACAGTTTTACCTGTCCTCTGCCTCTCTCTGTTAAGTGGCCTCCTCCAGGAACGAAGACCTCTTTTTTATCAAATGGATACATTTAATTGATGGAGAAAAAGCTTGGGCATTCAGACAGTCATAGCATTCATAAGCATCGCATTATGAATCTGCTATTTTGCTCTCAGTCTTTGATTTCTTGGTGTACCCTTTATTTGATCCTGAGCATGAGGGAAAGGATTTTGATCAACATCACCGCCAAATGCTGTAATTTTTTCTACATTGGTGGTAAACCTTAAGACCTAAACAAAAGAATGAAAATCTGGTCTAACATATAACATTGGGATAGTGAAGTTTCCAGTTCTGTTATGGTGAATGTCTTCATTAAGTTGATTTTACTAAGCAGTGTAGGATTCTGATCAGCTTACTTCAGTTTTTGCACACCAACTATTGGTTTTTCACGTATTCATTAGTATGTTAATAGCTACAGGTCAGCAAGTGCAGGTATATGGGCCTTGGCAAGCAGGGATTCTTGAAGTTTGTGCAGTAAACCTTAACCCGGCCCATGGAAGTTGGATAAAAATTCAATGATGGCAACAGTGTATACAGTTGGGAGGTGACCTTGGAATCTTTAAGAATTGTAAGTGCCCAAGTCCTGAGAGACCATATCTATATCTGGATTTCTGGCAGCAGGATGCAGGCATCCTTAGGTTTTCAGAATTCTAGGAGTTCCTATATGCAACTTAGTTTGAGAACTACTTGATTAAAAGAAAAAGGATGTCTTTCAGTTACTATAAAAACTCATCTATAAAGTTGCTACATTTTCACAACATAGATGCTACAGATATTAACACATTTAATTATCATATGCTATACCACATTTATAGGTAAATCACTGGATTAAGCTTTAAGTTAAGATTGGTGGGCCCGGCGCAGTGGCACAGTGGTTAAGGTCCTCGCCTTGCACGTCCGGGATCCCATATGGGCACTGGTTCTAATCCAGGCAGCCCCGCTTCCCATCCAGCTTCCTGCCTGTGGCCCGGGAAAGCAGTCGAGGACGGCCTAAAGCTTTGGGACCCTGCACCCGCATGGGAGTCCTGGAAGAGGCTCCTGGCTTCGGATTGGCATAGCATCGGCCATTGCGCTCACTTGGGGAATGAATAATCGAACGGAAGATCTTCCTCTCTGTCTCTCCTCTCTGTATATCTGCCTTTCCAATAAAAATAATAAAATAAATCTTAAAAAAAAAGTTAAGATTGGTTATCAGCAACTAGTTTATGACTTGGCATCTAAGTGAGTGGTGTTCTTAGTTATTGAATGTCATTTTACATTGTTATCCTTGCCTAAGAATGAATAGAAGGAGGCAATCTCTGAGATGCTTATAGGCCTTAAAAATCACATCCTTTCATATAGTCTGTTAACTGCACAAATGCTCTGTCCCAGAGGTTTAAGTCTTCAGTGGTTAGAGTCACAGAGATATGTCAATGAGCATGCCTCATAAATTAAAGAACCCTAGGGCCCAGCGTGATGGCTCAGTGGCTAAATCCTCGTCTTGCATGTGATGGGATCCCATATGGGCACTGGTTTGTGTCACAGCTGTTCTACTTCCCATCCAGTTTCCTGCTTGTGGCCTTGTAAAGCAGTAGAGGATGGCCCAAAGCTTTGGAATACTACACCCACATTGGAGATTCAGAGAAGGCTCCTGGCTCCTGGCTCCTGGCATCAGATTGGCTCAACTCTGGCTGTTGATACCTCTGGGGAATGAACCAGCAGACAGAAGATCTTTCTCTCTGTATCTCCTTTCTGCAAATCTGGCTTTCTAGTAAAAATAAGCAAATCTTAAAACAAGCAAATAAAACATGTCCCATCCCAGGATTCCGGAAAAAAATGCAATGGTTAAATTGCATTGAAGGCTTTTGTAGTTGCACTATGACGTTAAGAATTAAGTTTGATGAAGAATTAAGAGGGCCACTGAGCTGCATATGAAAATGCTTCCCTCTAGGGTGGCATTTTATTGCATGGGATACTGTGTCTCATATCAAGTGAGCTTGATCTGAGTACAAGCTCTGCTGCTTCCAATACAGCTTTCTGTTAATGGACGCCCTGGGAGGCAGCAGCTGGTGACTCAAATACTTGGGACCCTGCCATCGAGATGTGAGATCTAGATTAATTTCTAGGTTACTGACTTAGGCCTGCCACAACTGGCCCTACTGGTTACAAGGAACAGGGGACTGAACCAACAGGTGGAAGTAGTCTCTCTCTACCTTTCAAACAATATAAAATGTTTAATTTCTAACATGAGAATAGCAACAATGAGAGAACAAAAATAAAGCAATATGGATTTATTATGCTGCAATACATTAAAAAAATAGGAGATGAGTTGGCAGTACATTTTCTTCTAAAGTGAAGGAGAGGTGATATATTAAATCAAGTCCTCACCATGCACATGACAGGATCCCATATGGGCACCAATTCTAATCCCAACGGTTCTGCTTCCCATCAGGCTTTCTGGTAAAACAGTTGAGCATAGCCTATGGACTTGTGACCCTGCACCCAGTAGGAGACCTGCAGGAGGCTCTGGGCTCCTGGCTTCAAATCGGTGCAACTCTAGCCATCATGGCCACTTGGGGAGGGAATCAATAGATGGAAGATTTCTGTCTCTCCTCCTCTCTGTATATATGACTTTCCAATAAAAAAAAATCTTTAAGAAAAGTGTGCCTGTACATATGAAGCAGAGCAAACCAAGCACACTCATTCTTCATTACCCTCTGGGATGATGCTACTGCAGAGCAATCAAATATCAAAGCCATTATGAAATCTGTGAGTGGAGCTCAGAGAAGTCACAGGTGAAGTTAAGAATAAACACTATTCCCAAGACTAACCCCATCAAGGAAAACATTTGGATGCTTTCAAAAACTTTGAGTAAAATCTTCAAAAAGAGTGACTAGAATCATTCCGCAAAGATCAGGCAGTTCAGGCAAGAGCGACTAGACAGACTGCACAGAAAACTCTGAGGGGATCATGGAGCTCCTGCTGTCACTGCTGGCAAGGCTGGCGGTGATTTATGTATGGTATTTTGTGCCTTTGAGAGAAGATTCCCAATCCCCACACCTTCCTGATCATTTTATTTACTTGGGATGCAGAGAGCAAAAAAAAAAAACAGAGACAAAGAAGCTCTCACCTGTTGGTTTACTGCTTAAATGTCTACTATGCTGGGCCAAAGCTGGGAGCTTGAGGCTCAGTGTTGGTCTCCCAAGGAGGTGGTAGAGCCCAAGCACCTAGGGTTTACAGTGGCAGGAAGCTCAGCCAGCACATTCCTAGTACTGTAATATGTTACATGGGCATCATGACTACTAAAGGTACCCCACATCTTCTCCACAGATGTTTTTATAACACAGCAATCATTTTTTTGTGGGACTAGCACCTTAAGAATGTCTAGTAGCATGCCATTTCTAACCATTAAGCGCACAATCCCACAATATGAAAGCCAACAAGGCAGACTTTGGCAAATATCTTCTTAGTAGGATAAGGGCAAAGTGACCACCCCCCACAGACACCACCCTGAGTTGAGAACTACTGCTTTGAGCATATTCACTTAACAAAAGTGTGGGATTGATGATTGGACATCAAAGACAACAGACACTATGAATGATTCATCAGATCCAGTTCTAGTTTAGATGCTATTCCATTGAGAGAATGCCTCACAGCTGAAATTTTGATCATTGAGATAAAATTTGATAGAATTCACTTGAACAATGGACATATTTGGCAGGCCTACTATGCACTGACCTTGTATATTTCAAGGTCGATTATCCTATGAGACAAAAATCAAGAAATCTATGCTAGAAAACAAATGTCTTGGCCCCTAAACAAAGACTTAAAAAAAAAAAAAACCAACCAGCTGAATTACAGGATTAATAATACAGAATTAAAACAAGAGGCCAGATTAAGCATAAACTGTTAATGCTTACCAAGGTATTTTTCACAGAGACATGGAATAACTTAAACACACTGAAGGTCTTTGGCAGGGGAGAGCAGTATGTTGGTAAAATGCTTAAGAAGGAAAAGGCCTGCTCTTTAAAAGGAAGCTCACATCCCTTAAGACCTAGGACATCTAAAATCTGTGAGAGGAGAAAGTGCTGGGAGAGCTGACAAAGCAGTGATGGTCACTGGTGACAGCAACAGCCCTCACTGTTTTCCCTAACAATCCACTAATGCTGATTGCTGGTGACAGGGGACAGGGCTGGAAGCGAACTTCTCTAGGAAGCAGGTACATATCCAAGAGGCATAAACAGGAGGTGATAACACGAACCCCTTGTTTATCAGAGAAAAGAAGACTATGCTACTATACAGAACTAGCACCAACTCAATGTTTGCATGCTGGGAAGACAAAACTGTCACAAAGAATGAATAGGTTGGGTGTGAATCAGGTATAACTCAAACAAGACCTGGTACCTGACAGGAGTAATGTATTTAATTTTTGGTGGTATAAGCAGGAAAGCTTCAACTGCAACATTTTGGAAATGAAAGTATTGGTTTCAAGTTTTCTCTACTGGCTCACTAGTGGAAGACTTGAAAAGGAGATAAAGTTCAAAGGTCATACTTTCTGGCAGCACAGACTGAATATTTTCCTAGTTAATCTGCAACATGATTTTTCACTCACCTGAATATAAATGGCCCTTTCAGGGTTGCTTGGTGGTCATCATAAGAGTCAAAAACTAAGAAGGTATGGTTTTGCCTGGGGTAACAATTTCTGGTTTAAGAATTCGCTTATTTTGAATATTTAGTGTGGGATTGCTGTTAAAACAACCTGGCACAACTTTTCAACTCTTAGGATTATTTAAAAACTGGGATACTGACAGAGTCTTGATATTGAAATAATTTAACTTCAAAAGGGATGAACAAACCATGTCCATGTTAATGAAACACAACCCATGACTTTGCTAATGACCAGACCTCTATCCAGAGCTGGCACTGTGGCTTGGTGAGTCAAGCTACTGCTTGTGACATAGGCATCACATCTGAGAAAAGAGGTTTAAGTCCCAGCTGCTTTATTTCCAATCCAGGTTCCAAGGTAGCAGAAAGGGCCCAGTTGCTTGGAGCCCTGCCACTCACATGGGAAACCAGAACAGTGTTTCTGGCTTTTATCTTTGTGCTGTCACAACTCTGGCTGTTGTGGGCACTTAGGAAGCAAAAATCTCTGTCTCTCCCTATCTCTATTGCTCTGCCTTTCAAATAAATAAAACAAATGGTAAAGAAAAACCCCAGAAACCCTTTCCTAGCTACATATCTGCATAATATATCTTTGCCCAGAGGGCAGTGAAGTTTAATTTTGAACTGATTTTGTTGTCACTTTGGTAATGTGAGGGTTTCATAGTGTTCCCATTTTAATGTTGTGGATATTTTTAAAAGTAGCTATTTAGGCTTTCTGCATAACTCCTCATCAGATATTTTTAGTTTCTGCTTTGATTTCATCTACTTGAGAATTGTTCCCATTTATCCTTTATTACAGTTCTTTTCTCTCTTGGCCATTATCTCTAACTCAATAGGAGCTGCTGGTTCCGGTCCTTTTGCCTAATCTCCACACTTTCAATTCTGGAGTCTTCCAAGTGGGTTGTAAATTTTCCTTGTCTGATCATCTCTGTCAGTTCCCTCAATCCTGAACAGTCAGCTTTCTGGAGTCTCCAGGGTAGCTTCATAGTAGCTTTTTGTTCTGGAGGTGTTTTTACTTAAGGAAGGGAAAGGAGTGGGAGTGAGAGATGTAGATGTTACACAACTACATACACTTTTCCCCTATCTTAGTCACTGAAGCAGGATCAACCATTCAGTGGGTGTCATCAGGTCATGTAAATTGATGGGCTTCCACCTGCAATAACTGTAAGGCTCGCTGGTATTCTCAGCTCATTCCTCTGGAGAATGCTCCAGATGTGGAAGCCCAAAATCATTGCCCAAAGATATCAGCAGTGTTGTAGTTCAGGCTCCACCAGGATCATTTCACCAATTCTTCCCATGGAAGACTTTAGAGCAAGACACGTTTTCGTACAACCATCTAAGCAGAAATCCTTTCCCAACATTATACTCTCACTCCTGGAAATCCAAGTTCTTGCAGCTCTTATGATATTTTCATTTAATAATATCAACCTTTAAGAGGTATTTCATAATTAAGAAATTGGTTCTCTCAGAAATAGGTGCTTTAAAATCCAATTCAATGATTGTTTCCCTTCATTAGAATGATGAGTCCAAGTTTCTCATAGGTAATTGGATAGGATTGTTGCTACATATTTGTTTGCAAAGTGTCAAGTGATATTCTCATATCCTTCAATATTTAATGATTCAACAGATATTTATCAAATGCCTTCAGATTACCAGGCTTTGTTCTAGAATGACACAGTTATGAAAAAAGTTGACTAAAATGCCAGCTGTGCTAGGACAAACATCCCAAGGAAGTGCAATGTCTCTTAGAACAGCAGGGTCACTTAAATAACAAGGCATTGTTACTAACCTCACATGGAATTTCAGTGGGAACCACCACTGCCAGTGGGACAGTGCTTATGGAAGCTTCTGGCAAGTCTTCAGTTTCCTTTCTCTGGCTCATATGCCCAGTAGAGCTGACTCCTGAGTCTGTTGCAGTTATTACCTCGAGGTAGTCTTCAGTGTCTAGAGAAAATGTAATGAATATAGTAAATAATATAATTAATGCCACATTACTTTCACCATTATTATAAAGACTAATTCTTAACTCATTGATTTCACTAATGTATGGTACCATAAAATTGAGTTTAAGGCAGCTGAAATAATTTTACCAAGGTTATACATTAAAATGATGCTTGACAATTTAACTGGCACTATAATCTTTATGAGTAAACTAAAATAAACTAATATCATCAATTGGTTAAATGTTTTCCAAAAAACAAATATTCATACCACCATTTATATTTTCTCCTAATATTAAACAGCAAATCTGAAAACATATTACAGTATTTCTTTTCCATAATGGATATGAAAAATATATTTTAACTTAAGTCAGAACTTTTTACCATTTGCACATATTTGTATTTAATAAAATATAATGTATAACTATAAGACAACATCTAACATTAATGAGCATTTTATAAAATACTCATGTATTAACATTTTGTGCTTACCAAAATGTTAATATGTTCAGTGAAATGAGTGTGCTCTATGTCAAATACATTGGCTTTTCCTGTGGTAGTACTGGAAACAACACTGACATATTAAAGACAACATAAAGTGTCTGTTTTTAGAAATACATTTTAACAATCAGAAATTCAACTTTTAAACTCAACTAAAGCATTATTTTTATTGAATAATTATACTGACATAATATAGACATTTTGCATTACTCAGTGTCTAAAACCCCAGAGTTTCTCATTAGTCCACAGATCCAGTATGGCTGAAGTGAAGGCTCTCCACACCAGCAAGGTCAGATCTGTACAGTTAGCCCATTTTGAAATAGCCTGCAAATCCCCTAAGTCGAAAATTGGAAAAATGAAAATCGGCTCCTGGCAGCTAAGAAGTGTCCTGGAGCTAGAAGATGCAGTGTCCCAAGAGCTGGTCTGATCCCCATATGCAGACAGAGTTCTCCTACTGAACATTCATATCCCCATAGAACACCATTAGATAAGGCCACTCTATTACCATAACTAGTCCACACACACACACACACACACACACACACACACACACACACACACACACACACACACACACACACACCACAAACATTTCCCAAAACCACAAATGGCCAAATAGCCCAAGTTTTAATCAGTATGAATGATTATTCTTCACCTAGCCTATTTTTATTTCACCTGCATTGTAGAGTGGGCCACTCACTCATAATTTGCCTGAGATGTTCTCCATTTGGGCAATAAAAATGTCATGTTCCAGAAATGCCTGTCCCAAGCAAATTGGAATGGCAAGTCTCACTTCTCAACAGTCATCAATATACCATTAATATATCAAACCATTAATTCACTTCTGATTCATGACAGCAAGCGAACTCTAGGACAATCCTGTATCCTTGAGCCTTTTCTCAAATTACATAACACAAGGTCATGTCTTGCAAAATCTTTTTGAATACTTTACTAAGACATGCTGTGACTCTCCATAACATGTATTCTATTATGAGGGGAAATTCAAACAGTTCAAATGCAGTTATGTTTCTGGGGGTCTTTGTTTATAGGGCCTGAAAGGCTAAACTGGAGGATAGTACAGCTAGAAGTAGCTAGAAATTTGATGTTATCCTATTCAGAGTGAAGAGTAGATTCTACAAAGATACATCTATAAGAAAAACAAAAGATGTTCCCTTGAGAACAACTATCTCCCTGAATCTAAAAAAGATAGATTTTGTGTTTTTGCTCTTTGGCTTCTGCCTTCTGAAAGCTAAAGAACTAAGGCAAAAAAAAAAAAAAAAAAGTACCTTGGATTTCCAGATTTCTTCCACTGCTAGCTTTGTTTGAAATGAAACGAAAAATAACCTTTACTTTTGGATAACTGTGAGAAGTGACTTGAACTTCTGTCCTAAAGATTGATAAGACCCCATTACTGTGGAATCCACAGCATTTTTCTTACCACCCTGTTCTCCACCAATCTGATGTAACTTCGTAATCCTGTTTCTGCCAATCAATCAACTATAGCCTCATGGCACCCTATCTAATGGCCTATCCATCAGTCCCTTGTGGCCCCTCCCCCTGGTCCTCTACTCCGCACCTACCAATCCCTGGTCCTGACAGACTATCCACCAATCCTTGTGGCCCACCCACGGCCCCATCTACCAATCCCTCACGGCCCCATGATATCTGCCCTGAGCCATAAATCACACTCCTGGTGTGCCTGACCCTTCCTTCTTGCTCATCCCCCTTTCCCTTGCTCTCTGCCTCTACTCAGATCTCCATGGCATTCTTTCCTGCTGGATTAAAACCTCCTGCCTGGCTTGCAGCATCTGGTATTTTGGGTTTGTGGTGGCAAACAGAAAAGCACTAACACTGGAAAGAGATGACACCGAAAAGAACTCGCAACCACCGAAAGCACCTTCATAAGCAGTGTCATCTCTTCTGTTTGTGCACACACAGACTTACAAACACACAAATCAAAACAAGGTTGAACAAAGTAGTGCATCCTATGTGTGAACCGATTTTGTTAAACATGCCTTAAAGGAAAGAATAGTAAGTCAATCCCACATGACAGTACCTCGAATTTTCTACAGATTTGTTTGCAATATTAGATTTGGAAGTTTTATTTTATTTACCTACAGGACATAACCACACATGCATTGGAAAGTTATCTCTATCATTGTTCTCAAAGCAGTTTAAGATTCAGAAAACTGGAAGCAATACAAGTAACAAAAGACAAGATAAAAAATGCTTATTATAAAAAGATGGTATCACTAATAAAACATTTTATTAAAGAATATTTTAAAACAGAACAAGTTCATAATATAACTGAAAATGTTAAAGTTATAAAATTGTCAGTTTAGTAGGTTTTTCATTTAAGTTAGATTTTAAAAAGTGAACACAGAACTAAGTGGAAAGAATTCAAGATATATTCTTGAATAGGAATAATCTGTCTGGGCCAGTTTTTTTTTTAATTTTACTTCCTTTTATTATCATTTTATAGTATAGTTCTATAGGCCTTGGGGTTTCCTTTATCTCCTCCCCAGTTCCCTCTCCCTCACTGAATTCCCCTATATCATTACTAAACTATAGTTCTTCATACACAGTCCTATGTCCATCATTGCGAGCATGGACAATGGCAGACAGTCCAGCATCCTATTATCAAGATATAGTAAACAGTTTCATTGGGAGTCCATCTTTGTCTGGAAATAGAGATGCATACTGCATTGTATCCTCACATCTGGATATGATAGCTTCCAGTACAAAGTCACTATATCCCCCTGTTCCACCATCTTGATTCTCCTCTGGGCCAGTGTTCTGATACCAGTTTACGTTTTGGCTGCTATGCTTCTGCTCCAGCTCATTGCAAATGCACTTGGAGAAGATAGTGCAAGCCTGGGCTCCTGACACCACATGGGAGACCTGGATGAAACATCCTTTTTCTTGGCTTTAGCCTGGCCAAGACCTTAGATGTTGTAGCCATTTTGGAAGTGAACCAGAGAATGAAGGATCAATTACTTCTGGCCTGTGATTTATATGCATATACACATGAAGTATTAATATATAATGTGGTATATATGGTATAAAGTCTGATTTTCAACAATAAAATTGTACTCATTTTATACATTAAACTATTTATATTTCTTTTTCTTTTTTGTTTCCCCCGTTTTTGAAACTATATGTTATTTTCAAGCAGAGGAACAAGTTGATCAAGACTGCAGACTCATATCCATTTACCTTCTCTACAACATGTAAATAAAATGCATAACAGAAAGGACTTGCAAAAGCAATTAATATAAAAAAATGGGAAATTCAGAAATGACTCAATTACATGAGAAAGAAGAATGGAGGCATCAAGAAAGATGGGAGTTAATCTGGAATGAAATTAAGGAATACAAGAGAAAAACCAAGTTTATGTATGAAGTGTCTCGAAAAGCCTAGGCAAGATTTCACTGACAGCCATTCCCTAACCCTTACAGGGATTTCCCCATTCCCTTGGAAAGGCTAAAAGTGTTCACTGAATCGAGCCATCAGTCCAGCTGGGCCCAGGATAGCTTAATAAATGGAGTTGAGGAGTCAGTTGCTTCTTTAATAGCTAAACACATTGGGCAGCACTGTCTACAGGGTTATTTTAGGGGGATTCCAGGTCCATTTAGAGAAATTCCAGTTCTGGAGCAAAATATAATTAATGCCCAAATGAACACCCCCACCACCCAGACCTTGTGAAGCCTACTTATCACTCAGGGACTTGGACACAAGCTGAACATGCACCTGTCAGCCTCAAGTTGAGCCTCCACAAGCCTGGGAATTAAGCAGTAGCCACCCAGCTTCTCAGTCTGTTCTTTGACAATAAGTATCTACTTAGATACTTATCAAATCCAATCTTAGTGATTGTATTTCTGTGTGTCAGACGAGCAGATCCAAGTTAGGGGGTTCTATAGCAATACCTCCAACTAGTATAAGGGGTTGTTTCACAACAAGAGCAGAAAAATCAGAGAACAAGGACTTGGACATTCAGCATTAAACATAGTGTTAGTTTTCCAAAACCAAAGAATTTCCAAAGTTTTCATAAAGCAGAAAGTATTCCTAAGACAAATTTAGTATTGATTAAGTTGAAATTTCATTTAAAACAACTGAAATAGTTGGAACTTTCCTCCCAGCTGCTGCTTCTGCTGAGTAAAAAGGAAATTTGCTCTTCCCCTAATAGCATTACACTCTTAAAAAGAAATGATGGTACAGGATCTGCATAAAGCAATCAATTTTCCCCACTTTTTTCCCGCCTTATCTAGCCTCTGATTACTACTCTGCTCTATTTGTATGAGATCAACTTTGAAAATATAATTTCATACAAATTTAGTGCTTAATTCTTTATCAATTGGTTAAATCTATGTTTGATATGAAGCCAAATTTCCCAATAATTGATAAACTTAGGGGAATATTGAAAAAACTTTAAATTGTACCATTTTGACTTCTTTCTTTACTGTAATTTTATATGAAAGAAGTTATTTTTCTTTACCCTATGAC